TCCAGCTCACTCTTGCTCATCTCGTCACAATAGTCATTCAGGTTGCACTCCAGGGACTGTTGTTCAACGGTCTCTTCAGTGTGTGTGTGTGTGTGTGTTTGTGTTCGATTCACCTCCATTTTGTTTCAGGAAGTTACACTTTGGTTCGTCGCACTGCTCAGAGTTCTTTGTTTGCTAATTCCTTTCTTATTGATCATCTGTGCTCTCTTCAGTAAGCATCAAAGTGAGCAAAAGTAAGTAGTAGACAGCTGTTAATGAAAGTTTCCAGTGGCTTGCTTGTTTGAAATGCTTTCTATGACGCTCTACAAAAGTGCTTGGGAACCATTAAGGAGAGATTATGATTGACTTGACATTAATGTGTTGCATATATATCGGAATCTTTTTCCGTATGCTGCTGAGTGCCGCAGATTTCTACATTGATTTTAAATCAGTGAATGTTTGTCTTACAGATCCTTCGCCTGGCTTTGACATTCTCATATGTGTGTGTGTGCTGCGGCTATAGTAGCTGGAACTGATGAAACAGGGCATCTGCTTTATATATTTCTCCCGGTGATAATGATTGGTGCTTGTGTTGTTGTTGTTGTTGGTGGTTCACTTGAAGTTCTGTCTTCGCCAACTGCCTCTTCTGCCGGTGCTTGTTGGTGTTTGTGTGACACTAGACGCATATATCATCTTTCGAAGTCCAAATCATTTAGAGTTTTCTTGTCGGTTCAATTTATGCCTGTCATTGGATGTCGAATGCTTAAGCCAATTGGTTGTGTCTCCATCATATTAAATGAAACTAGGTAGATTATATTCAGATTAGATGTGCAGAGTTTTAGGTAATGAAGGTTAGTTAAGTATAATTATTTGGAATTGTGAATCTTCACCGATTAAGTGGGACAGTTCTGTCTGTCTGTTTTCGACATAGAACTTTGCACAGCACCGATGTGCAGCTAATCGAGTCGCCACACTCCATTCATGTAGCACACAAAGCAAGAGAAGAAAGTACAACGAAATGCAAAACGGAGAGAGTAAACAGAGATTTGAGGCAAAAGGATGGTAATAACGAAGAACAATATAGTTTCATTGGGTATTATAAGTCACAAGGAGTGGATGCATCTGCACCAGCCATTGAGAACGATTTTGAGCCATGTCACCAATTGTCTCCAGCCTTCATTGGTTTTTACCATCCCGAGGACCCCAACCAGTCAGGAAGTCTACACCTTCCTACTTGGCCTAGACTAACTGTTGTAGATTTCATTGACTGGTGCCATTTTTTGGTTTGACCGCCGCTAGCTCTTTTCCAGTCTGACTCTATATCAGCTAACATTGCCCATCGAGGGACGCGATGACTAGGCATACGTAACATGTCCTAACCATGTCAGTCGATGTAATTTCACAGCCTCGTCGATTGATTTTCCCTCCTTACCTAGCACTCGACCGATGCCTAACTTCAATATTGTTCACCTTATTATACCACAGTTCAGAAATGTGTTACGCCTTATCTCTTCTTCCTTGACGAACACGGTTGGTTGCATTGGGTTTTCTTCTGACAGTCTATGATGACAGGCTGGGTGGGGGGGCGGTACATCCTCAGCATGCTAAGAATCAAAATCTTCTACCTTCTCACAGATGTATTCACCCCCTGTCGTTGAAATTCTTTATATATGTTCACTACTCTTCATTGAATTATTCTTTCTTTGTATGTCCATCCCTCCCTTTCACACACACACAGACACTCATATCTTTTTTTATATCTTGTCTGAAATGCGACAATATCAGCTGTTATACTTCTGTGCAAAGTTCTCCTCTGATCTGTGTTTCTCTCTATCCGCTTACTTGGCCGATAGCTGCTACTTTCACGTTGTCATTGGACTTGAATATCACAAGTGACCCAACGGGCTACATTGGCTGGAATTAACGTTTCTACAAGCCCTGCTGTAATATACGTAGTGTTATTTATTGGTGTGTAGTATGTAATGGCAGTTTAACTGACATCAGTTACCGTCATTGTGTTAGTTGTTTAGAGTATCTTGCAGGAATAGGAGTGTTTCTCCTGATGACCTGCCTATCAGCTGTGCTTCCGCGACCCTCTCGCTTTGCAGAGGGTTAACTCCAAAAATTGTGCAATATCCCAACTTACCCGGTCATGGTGTCCGTAGCTGCTACTGATGTGATCTTAATACGGATACAACTGCAGAAACTACTTCAAACAGGCTGTGTAATTGGCCCTTAAGTAATCATTCTCTGGGCTCTGAAGTCACACAGAACTAATTTTTGCCAAAGAATCCACCTCTGTGCAACAGGACTAAGTAATAACTGCTAAGATTTCTAACTGTCACCCACCAGTGTTGTCTATCCTGTCTATATGTATTTCTGTTTTTATCATTGCCTTATTTTATTCGTTTGCGTTCCTGGTCGAGCACAGGGCTTCAAGTTGCAGCCTCTGAAGTTTCGGGGTACCAATGGTTTCATTCTTAAGGGTTGGTGGTTGTAAGCCTCACGTCAAGCTTTCCCTCTTTACCGGCCTAGCGAGGTTTAGGCGTCGTTCGTCAGTGGCTGGGGATCGAATCCTGGACCAAGTAAGCAGACGTGGTTGGCGAGCATTCTACAATTGAACCACCCGACGCACAAATCCTGTCTATATAATAACTAGGAGTTAATTTCTTTGGTTGTGGACCACTGGTTAGTGTAACTAGTGTAATGTGCTTGGTGTGTTGGTGTGGTGCAGGCTGAATTTTGTCAATCAAGTTTGCCATTAATTCATTAGGTTGCTCACCATCACGGTACACTTTGAATTGTTGATATAACATGGTTGGAGGCAATCGGCAGGAAGCCTTCTACCTAAGTTTCGTCCTAGTTAGCACTCGTCAGCAACCGTCGAAGACGTTACCAATACTAGAGACTTGGTAATGGAATGTTTATTTAGAGTTCGGTATCCTTATATAATGGGAAATTAAGTACACCTTATCTGAAAACCGTCATTTGCACAGATCCTCCGTATTGATTTTCTTTTCATGTCTTCCATGTTTTGCCGTAAGACTGGTTCATTTGCTCTCTTTGACGTAAAACCTATCTACCTGCTATTCGATATTTTTATGCCAATGAAAGTCTGTTTATGTACTACTGATAAGTCTTTTCAGTAGCACATGTCACACTATGTTTTTTCTCGGGATCTAAAGGAATAATAATAATAATAATAATAATAATAATACTAAAGTGGTTCAATCAGGTCACCTTATATGCACCAACAGGGGTGTCACAAGCATTGTGAACCATGATATTTCAATACATCCCCTGTTTATCTTTTTATGCGTGTTTTATCTCGATTGTTTCAATGTTTGCGTGTTTGTGTGTGTGTGCGTTTACTATTTATAGTCTTTTTAATCCAGATTAATTTTGTCCGAAAAATAATGTTACAAGAACGAACAAGCGACAACATTTATACCTTTGTCAGCTTAACTCAGTTTGCAATATGCGTATATCAATGAGAGAGAATTAACAGTCGGCTTATTATATTATATATATATATATATGCTTGACCAACCGTTTAGGTATTTCTATTATTAATATTCTAAGTATTGAATTGACTTACATGCCTCCGTGTAGTCTGTAATGTTTCTTCTTCAGAATTCTCTACTTTTTGTTTTAATCGGTATCGAATATTTTGGAGGGTTATTTAATTTAGAAGGATACGTATCGTTGGTGTATGCGTATCTGTGCTCTGTGTATGTTTGTGTGTGTATGTATGTATGTAGTTTGCGTGTGTGTGTGTGTGTTTGGGGGGTATGTTGAAGATAGATTGTGACAGCAATAATAGAAACAACTTCTAGTAAATGATTTTTAAGTCATAATTGTTCATTATTATTATTACTACATTATTATACTCATGTATAGTAAACGACTCACTGGTAGGAATTAGTTAGGATCCAAGAGTAAGGACCAAGGCAAATGACACTGGTTACACCAATCTCCCACTTCGCCACCGAACTGTCAGTCTACATGACTAATTACCAGTCCTAGAGGAGGTCATTTGTGACTTGGAACATCTCATTGATTACGCTACCTGAGTTCAGTACTGAGTGAGTGAGGAGTGTCTGTAACACTTGACTTTCAGTCATCAGTTTCTGGGTTCCACTATTTTTTTTCCATAGGGATTTCCATTAAGTTGTTTCGTGCTAGTCTGGGGCTCTTCAGTATTGTGCATCCATAACTTTGCTAGGGAACCAAAGCCACAATATCCTAATGAAGTCAGCCTCTACATTGGGGAATTCATTAACCTTTTGAATTCGTGATACATTAACGCCACCCCACTATCAATCAAGTACCAATGAGGAATTTCTGCATCACCTCCATCATTGTATACTGAATATTATTTCTCTTTTTGATTCAGTTTGTTTAAATCAAGTAAAATATGATCTTTAATAGTACTGTGTTTACTCTGGCGGGTATTTAAAACATTTACAACCTGTTGATTCTACTAATAAACATGGCAGAAAGCATTATCCTCAATGGCAGCTTCTCCCAACACATGAGATGACCATTCCTGAATGGTGTCCTTGGTTCACATAAAATGTCGCCGTGTATTTCTCGAAGAAGAAGAAAAAGAAGAGATGTCATCATAATGGATTAGTTTGTGCTTCAGGTCAGATAGAACTGAGTCACACGATCTACTGTCAGTTATTTTTTTATCTGAAGATCCTGAACGAAGAGAAATATCGTGTAATAATTCCGTGAAAATTCTGTACATTATAATAAACATTGTTCAGAATAAAGCTGTTATTATTATTATTCTTTATTCTTTACCCTGACATGGTGGATACCGTCTCCCACCATTTGTCTCACACTTAGCTCTTCACGACATCTATCGCGCGTAGTCATTAATGAATTGGAGAGTGATATTCAGGATCATTGGGTGTTGAAGGAGTTTTGTTGTTTAATTTTTACGGTTAAATGAGCAATATTCATCGTGGTAATTTGTTTCTACATGTCTGTTTTTTTTAATCTTTTCTCTTTAGCACTTTACATCAGTATATGAATGATGAAGTTCAATATGTGATTACACGCTCAGATTGGGATTCTGAATTCGATGACGTGAGTTGTTGTTGTTATATATGTATATGTATTTCTTTTTCTTATTTATTTACAACGTGAAAACTAACTATTTGAAATATTTAAGTGTTGGTTTGCAGGCATTTGATTTGATTGGTTAGCCAAGTTAAACTTTAAGCACCACTGACTGACTACCAATAGAGTGTGACCTCACCAATGACCTTGAAACGCACACTGAGCGAGTGTCAGTGAAACCTGGCAAATAATGTTGTCATCATCAATAAAATATGCTCATCGAAGTGTTATGCTATTAAATGGGATTTCTAGCAAGTTTCAGCCCAGGTTTGGGAAAGATTAAGTTACGCTTTTAAGCTAAGGACAAGTTAGGGTTAGGTTAACCTAATAAAGGCGACATTAGGGTTGGTTCGAGTTAGATTACGGTTAGTTTAGGGATATTTTCACGTTAGGATTAGGTTCAGGAATGATTAGGGCTATTGTTGGGGTTAGAAGACCTAAATAATTACATGCATAGAATGTGGTTAAATTACTCTGTTGATATAAGAATAGAACTTGTGCAGTGTGGTAGGGTGTAATTCCATTGTGGGTAGCCTTTATTTTGATGAAGTCTCACAGTGTTATACAGTAATATTTACTGATGACAACGTTTCGAGCACAATTTATTGCTCAGTTTAATTATTACTGTATTACACTACGAGACTTTATAAAAACCAATTTTACCCACAATGGAATTATACTCTGTTGATACTCCAACCTTAAACTGAGAGCTATTTTCATCACATTTGAGAGGAAGGTATCCTCTGTAACACTTTTCTACAGTTTTTATGCATTTTTTTCATAAATATATATATACTCCATACACAAAAATGCCTCCTTCACGTGATTGGTGTGTTCGAGGTCATTCGCTGACTGGTAGTTAGTGGTGCTTAAAGTTTAACTTTGCCGATTAGTTACAGGATTTCATCCTGAACTAACATCAGTTAATGAAAGATTGGAAAACCACCAGGAAGGAGTACTGGACAGCCAGCTGTTTCGTCCCACTAGCTCGGGACTCTTCGTCAGTACGCATCCACCATTAAGTTTCCAACCCAGGACCTTCCGGTTACAAGTTGAGCTCGTGACCATTGCATTTTAGCGCGTTTGGTACCAGCTAATGTCATCCGTGGAGAGTATTTCTCCTTACTCCTAACACCTGACTTAGTAGACCCTACCGGTCACGGCGTCTCACAAGAGCTGCAGTCACTAGTGAGCGGACATCACGAATTATTAGAAGTTGGGATTCGTTAGCCATTGGATGAGGGTCCCAGTGGTTGAATGGTCTGCGAGCTTGCCTTGTAACTGGAAGGCCCTGGATTCGAACCCTTGTGGCGGGTGCATACTGATGATGAGTCCCAAATTAGGACGAAACAATTTGCTGTCCATTATTTATTCCAAGTTATCAGTGTTGCCTATATTGCTATTATAATTAAACTTTGGTAAACAATTTATTTTTTAAAAATGCAGTGCTTTCTGTATAAGCTACTTGTTTAGTGGTATCAGTAGTGGTTTTGTAGTATGAAGTAATTTGCTTGTCGGCAGTCGTTATTTTAGTCTTTAATGTGATAAAGTACTCAAAACATGCCATTCAGTATTGCAGTACATTAAATTCTGTTATATAAAATACTATAATTATCCCTTCCTTGTATCCCGAGTGGAGTATACGCCGGCTTCGTCGGCACATCATTGCACTCAGCTCTCTGTGATTACTTTCAACCGACTCCATACTGCCTACAGGCTTTCAGTTCCCCTTCAAACGATATTCTCTATGTCATCCTCAGCTTGAAATACCATACACCTAAATCTCAAGTTTTGAAGGAGTAGACATCCCTTCTGAGATTCGGATTCTTAGGAAACAGAAAGATTGAGCGAAGAAATATTCACTTTTCAATTACATCCTCATCTCTGGCTCTACTGTAATATATATATATATATATATATATATATATATAACATTTTTATTACAATACCCATCAGTTTACCAATCAAGTGGCGGGCGATATGTTTGTTAACAATAATAAGTCAGTGTCAACATGTCAATGGGGTGATAATTAGCGAAGAAAATTAATACACACATTTAAAAGGTAGAAATGTTTAGAATAAACTAATTTTACAAGAATAACACGTAATTAAAGATTAAGTGGTCAGAAAAATAAAATAATTTGGACAATTATAATTTTAAAGGTTTAGGGGGAGGGGGGCGAAGTAGTCCGGTTTACACATTCATGTAACGATGGCCAAGGCAAGGAAAGTGGCTGCACAAATTTCTTCTGAACACACACACACAGGTTTGTCTTCCACAGTTGGATTCCTATTGCTTCAGCTGTATGTAGAAGATGAACTCGTAAAGCAAAATTAAGATTAGTAGGAATGCGATAAATAATTTTAAATGCTGTATTAACGTCAACCTTATGCTCACTATCTACAAGGTGTGCTAAAATAGAGCTACGAATAGATCTTGTTTTTCCCTTGCTTAACCATGTTGGATGATGTTCGGAAATACGATGATGAACCTGCCTAATTGTACACCCAATGTAGCTGGCTCCGCAGCTGCAGTCAAACTGGTAGATACATATAGAGGAGGCAAATTTAGGTAGTTTATCCTTATTTCTCGAACGTAGAATAGGGGTGGTAGTGAAGAGACAACGTACCTCTGCTGCATAATAAGTTCTTTTAACTGCATTCTTCAGGCGCTGTGTTATTATTTCGCTGATGTTGTCACCCGGTGCTGTGGCTAGGAACATTACTAATACTGAGCTATTAGGGCTGAGGATTCATCTCCTATAGCTGTAGGACTCTCAGTTGATTGACTGCCTCCAATCGTCTAACACATTATTCAAAGTCTGACAGGTGAGGCATTCAGGTCCATGTGAACACACTGTGGGGTGCCTTGCGCTGCGGGTTGGCCACCCCTCCGCACACCTCTTGAAATGCTCCCATTTGACCGGGCGTCTTACATAGCCTCTCCTGAGGAAGTCCTACTCACTGCCTTCACGTGGCGGAGGTGTTTTTCACCAAAGTGAGAGGGCGAAAGCGGATGCCCGGCGCTCTTCACCGGGTTGACTGTCCATTGGATGACAGTCTAGGGGAGATGGCTAAACCCTGATTCCAAACCTCTAACGACTGGCGTATGAAGCTCACTGGAGCTCACCGGCAGACGTATGGACAAAGGGCTTGTTGGATGTCCTGGATGTCTGGCCCCATTCAAAAAGGCGTATGAACCGAACTCCAGTCACCGACTGCCAATGGATAGTGGACTCCCTGCTCCACTCCTACTGCCTTGTAGGTCACACTTGGTTGTGTAAAGGCTAGAGCTGCACTCTCAAAGAAAAGGCCGAGCAATTCTGGGGACATCACTCGTACCAAATTCCCATGAAACTTCATGAGCTCTCTTACATGGCTTGGTACAGTCAAGGCTGATGTGGAGTGCCTGGGGCTACAAACCCTCTACGGACTCCGTCTGTGGAACAAGAATTGGATAACCCTGTCGCAAAACCTTGCATCAGATCGCCTCGATTGATAGAATCCAGTTAGCATCTAAACCAAGGACTACTAGGTACGTGAATCACAGTTACTCCCGAGTAATCAATCAGTGTACTATCTTTATTTGTATATTTGAATTCTCTGCATGCAGTATCATCTGTGGTGCAACCACTCGAGAGCCATCTCCTTCGGGGAACCAAATGCACCGTTAGCACATAGATTATAATGTATAGGCAAGCATAGTTACTCCAGTCAACGATCACATCAATCAGTTATGCACTGCACTAAACAACCTCATCCTGCAAAAACAAGACTAGGCAAACGCTTTATTACAGGCAAGAGTACCTTGCATAACGACGCCATATATGATACAGGTTTCGCTAATCGAAGCCAGAATCCACCATCCAATTCAATGTGAAATTGTTAACCCTGCCAAGCACTTTAATGCGTGAATAACGTCTATACCTCTGCTAAGACGAGCATAACTCATGCTCGTTACTATAGGATATATGGTACTTTGATTAGACACTAGTCAGTAACTAGTGTGACGTGTCTAGTCCTTTCTTTGGTGTGGACTGAATTCTATCAGTCAGATTTGCAATGTGGCCATCATGCCACTAGGTAGCCCGCTATCACAGTGCACATTGATTTGATGATATTAGATAGTTGGAGGCAATCGGCCACAGGAAGCCCCACTACAGTCCTACAGGAGGTCAATCACCCGCCCGAATAGCTGCTCAGCAGTAACGTCTCTGACTGCACTCGGCACTGGGTGACGCGGGTTCGAATCTCAGATGACGGACATGAGTTCCTTCAAGGTTGTTGCAGATGCTAGCCTTGCTGACTAGTGGATGCCAGCTAGCACGAAACCTAGGTCCAAGCAGGGCTTCCTGTGTCCGATTGCCTCCAACTATCTAATAGGACATATGGTAGTCTAGCTGGTTGTTAACAGGCTCAGGTGATATTGTTGTCACTGTAAAGTTTTGTCGTCTGTAAGAAGTATTATGAAAGTTGTTATTTTTTATAAATGTAAACACGTGTTAACCACTTTGCTGTTGAAATCAGTATGAATTACAAATGAATAAAGGCTTTAGTGTGTGTGCGTGTGTGCACTTTCAGTGATTCTCTAACTGATGCTGTCAAGTTGTGATCCAGTTTGAAATCATCCAAATCCCTGCAGGATGAATGAAGTAGTTGTCTGGAGCTCTAGTGAGAATTCATCACCAACGGGGGGGGGGGGAGTTCACCAAGTCGACTGTGAGGACGCCTACCCTTCAATGACATTGGTTGGTTGGCTGGCTGGCTGGATGTGGTGTTATGTATCACTCCCAAATCAGCCGAAGTTAGAATTCACTGGCCGTTGCATTCCATCCTAGTCGCTAAAATGGTCAGCGGGCTCACCTCGTAAGTTGACAGTCATGGGTACATATACTACTGAAAGGTCTGAAACTAGGACGAAACAACCGTCTACTACTTACTCCCTGCTAGTTTTCAATGCTTCTTCT